AGGGGCCATCTAGGTCAATTGGCATAACAAAGTTTGTTAAGAAAATGTTCTGCATTCCACTTTGGTGAGTGGTGTCTGGGGTCTTAAAAGCTAGCGAGCGGTCATCTAAGATGCATCAATTGGTCCCAACCCACCTGGAGTAAAGGAGAATGAAGAATACCAAAGTCACAAGGAAAGTATTAGCCCGAGAGACAGAAAGGGCCACATAAACCAGAGACTGCATCAGCCTGAGACCAGAAGAACTAGATGGTGCCCAGTTACCACCAATGACCACCTTGACAGGAAACACAGCAGAGTCTCGGATGGAGCAGGAGAAAAGTGGGGTGCAGAACTCAAATTCTAGTAAAAAAAAAAAACAGACTTAATGGTCTGACAGAGACTAGAAGAACCCCAGAAAGCATGGCCCCCAGACTCTCTGTCAACCCAGAACTAGAACAATTCCCGAGGCCGACTCTTCAGACAAAGATTGGCCTGGACTATGGGACATAAAATGATACTTGTGAAGAGTGTGCTTCTTGGCTCAAGTAGATAGATGAGACTAAATGCGCAGCTTCTGTCCGGAGGTGAGATGAGAAGGCAGAGAGGGTCAGGAGCTGGTTGAACGGACACGGGAAATCAGGTGGAAAGGAGGAGTCTGCTGTCACAGTATAGGGAGAGCAATTAGGGTCACATAACAATGTGTGTATGAATTTTTGTATGAGAGACTAATGAATGGTAAACTTTCACTTAAAGTACAATAAAAAAGGAAAAAAAAGTTTGTTCTGTTAAGGAAGAATGAGAGAAAAGTTTGAAAGTAATGGCTTCTCAATAATAGGAGAAATGCTGTTGTTGTTAGCTGCCCTTGAGTAGGCCCCTGTCTCATGGGGACCCCATGCACAATGGGATGGGACTCTGGGCAAGTCAGTTATAGGATCTTGAATCTTGTCTCCTCTTTGGGGAAACAGTAAGATCATTCTTGGGTCAAGGGTGGTCATTATTTGGACCAGGGCTGGCCACTTTCCTAAGACTACCACACCCAAAGACTGCCCAGCAACCTCAAGATGGCTTAGTACCCAGAGCGGGCCATGGTAATTAAGCCATCACCCTAGTTCCCTTGAAAATTTTCACTGGGGGCTACAGAAAGAGGAATGGAGCAGATAGGCAGAGAAAGTAGAGAGATATGAAAGCAACAGAGCAAGGAGCTAGCTGCGTTCTACCCTGGCAGCTTTGCATTTTTAGCCCATACCTATCCCTTCAATACCATTTCTTTCTTAATTGTAGCCAGCGTGTTTTCTGTTTTTGGCAACCAACAGATTCTTCTCTGACCTCATCTTCCACCACATCTACATCCTCCCGTCCTTGGCTCATTTTACTGCAGCCACACTGGCCTCCTTGCTGGATCTGGAAAAAGCTAAGCAGGCTGCCACCTCAAGGCCTTTGCACTGTCTGTTCCTTCTGCTGGAAAGTCCTTTCCCCATCTGCACTTCCATCAGATCTTTACTCAAATGCATCTTCATGCCTTCCCTGACTCCACTATCCAAAATTGTAACACTCCATCACTCTATTCCCCAAAATTGCTTTAAAAAATTTTTTTAAACATTTGCACTTATCACAACCTAACATCCTATAGATTTGTTATTGCACAGAGTTTAGCCAACTGTGAAGTTAGGGAACCGTCCATACAAGACCACCCTCACTTCTGACACCAACTGCAAGTTTGGGGGGATTCCCCAAACCACCCTCAGGTTCATAATTCCTGGCTCACAGAGATCGCTGAAAGCTGTTACAGTTACAGTTTATTACAGATTACAATGAGCCAAGGATACAGATTACAATGAGCCAAGGGAAGATATACATAGGGCAGAGTCCAGGAAACTCATACACATGGCTTCCAGTCATCTCCCCATGGAGATGGGAGAGTTTTGCTTTCCTGGTGTCGATATGTGACAATATGGTTGGGAGTATTGCCAAGGAGGGAAGCTCACCTGAGCCTCGGTGCTTAGGGTTTTTATTGGGGTTCCATCACATAGGCATGATTGATTGCCTAGGTGGCTGATCTCTGTCTCGAGTCTCCAGACTGTCT